TGCATGCCATTCTGAGTAGCTTGATGAAACCTCTCTTGGGACAACCATCTGGGACATTAATTATCCCTTTGTCAAGCTGTATATGCTACCCACCCATAAGATCTACTGTCATGGTATCACAGCTCTTGTGTTCAAGTAACCTTTTTCTTACTTAATAATTGCCTCAAAGTGCAAGAGAAGTGATATTGGCAATTCAGATATGCCAAAGAGAAGTTATAAAGTGCTTCCTATAAGTGAACAGACTACAGTTCTCAAGTTAATAAGGCATTTTATCATCTCACATAAGAAGGGTAAGTACAATACAATAAGATATTTTGAGAGACACCACATTCACATGACTTTTATTACAGTATTGTTATAATTGTCCTATTTAAGTATTAATTACTAGTGGCCCAGTGCACGAAATTTGTGCACAGGGGGTAGGGGGTTGCCCTCAGCCCAGCCTGAACCCTCTCCAATAGGGGACCCCTTGAGGGATGTCCGACTGCCAGTTTAGGCCCGGTCCCACATTCGGGCCTAAACTGGCAGTCGGACATCCCTCTCACAATCTGGGACCACTGGCTCCTAACTGCTCACCTGCCTGCCTGCCTGATCACCGCTAACTGCCTCCGCCTGCCTGCCTGATTGCCCCTAACTGCCCTCCCCTACCAGCCTGATCTCGCCCCCAACAGCCCTCCCCTGCCAGCCTGATCGCGCCATCAACTGCCCTCCCCTGCTGGCCTGATTGCCCCTAATTGCCTCTGCCTCAGCCCTCACCGCCATGGCTTTGTCCAGAAGGAAGTCGGACATCCAGAAGATGGCCAGTCGACCCGGTCTAATTAGCATATTACCCTTCTATTAGTATTGGTAGATTATATAGGATAGGATTGCTTAAATGGGGGGAGTGGGGGAGCCTTTTTCAGCAGGAGGAGATGCTCTTGGCAGACAAAAATACATAATCCCTATATCTGGATAGCCAGCCATATGCACTATACTGCCAAACCGGTCATTAAAAAATTGAACCACTTTCTTACACCTTACACCAAACAGCTGTTGCCCTTAAAACCCCTCCTCAGCCCCCACCTTAGGTTCTGCCTTCGCAGTTCACCCAGATTAGGTTCTGCTTGGTCGGTTTCTATGCCAGTCAGCATCAAAAGCTCCGCCTCCTATGCAACCACTGGCTCCTCGCACTTCACCCAGATTTGGTTCTGATTGGTCAGTTTCTATGCCAGTCAGCATCTCTGGGCCTATCTCCAGGCCTAATCAGAGAGGCAGGGCTGGTCAGCAGCCCCAGCAGAGGCCTGGAGAGAAACAGAAGCGTGGCTGCTGGCCAGGCCCGGAGTGAGAGAGGCAAGGGCTGATCAACAGCTGCCACAGAGGCTATGGATCAGACCCTGCTTCTCTCTCCAGGCCTCTCTCCGGGCCCAATCCGCAGCCCCCTCGGCAGTCAGCACTGGCAACCCAGCACTGACTGCAGGACTGACTTCCGGTGGGTCGAGCCTTCGGTCGTTTTGGATGTTATGGACCCTGGGTTTTTATATATTAGGATTATTAATCTCTTACTGTGCCTAATTTATAAATTAAACTTTATCATAGGTATGTTTGTATAAGAAAAAAACATAATTTACATATATAGGGTTGAGTATTAGCCACAGTTTCAGGTATCCACTGGGGGTCTTGTAATGTATCCTATACAGATAAGGAGGGGCCTACTGTAGATAAAGTATCAATATCAGGAATGAAAGAAGCAATATCACTATAGATCCACAGACATTAAAAGGATAAAAAGGATACTCATACAAACAAATCTATGTACATAAATTCGACAACTCAGATGAAATGGACTAATTCCTTAAAAGCTGCAAAGTACCAAAACTCACCCGGAAAGAAATAGACTACCTGAATAACCTATATCTATTAAAGAAATCGAATTTGTAGTTTAACACCTTCACACAAAGAAAACCCTAGACTCAGATGGCTTCATTGGAGAATTCTGCCAAACAAAAAGAGAGAATTTTACACATCTCTTCCAGAAAAATTAAACGGAACATTCTCTAACTGGCTTTATAAAAACAGCATTCTCCTGATACTAAAACTAGACAAAGATAGCACAAGAAAAAAACAAAACTACAAACCAATATCCACATGACCATAGATGCAAATTCCTCGACAAAATATTTTAATGAACCTTGACCTAAATTTAATTAACTCATCCAAAAATCAACTAAAATGAATCATAGATGTAAATGTAAAATGTGAAACTATAAAAAATCTTTAAAAAGAAGACTATCTTTGTGACCTTGGACAAAGAATTTTTATACCAAAACATGATCCATAAAAGAAAGACACAAATTTGACTTACTCAAAATTTAAAACTTTAGTTCTACAAAAGATGAAAAAGAAAAACTACACATTAGGAACAAATATATAAAACTTATTTATCTGACAAAAGACTCGTATCCAGGATATATTAAAAGAAAAAAACTCTCAAAACTCACAGAAAGAAAACAAATAATCCAACTTAAAAACTAGGCAAAAGGCCCTGGCTGGTATGGTTCGGTTGGTTGGAGCATCATCCCATGCACCAGAAGGTCTCAGGTTCAATTCCCAGTTAGGGCACATACCTAGGTTTCAGGTTTGACCCCCTGTTGGGGCATGTACAGGAGGCAACTGATTGATGTATTTCTCTCATCCATATCTCTCTCTCTCTCTCTCTCTCTCTCTCTCTCTCTCTCTCTTTCCCTCCCTCCCTCTCTCTCTCCTCCCCTCTCTAAAATAAATGTAAAAACCAGGCAAAATATTTGAGCAGACACTTCACCAAAGATATATTAAAATACATGGTTATAAGAATGTGAAAAGATGCTCAATATCATTAGCCATTAGGGATATGCAAATTGAAATCATGAGGTAACACTACATACCTATTAAAGTGACTAGAATAAAAAATCTGAATGTTCAATGTCACTAATCATAAGGGCAATGCAAATCAAAACTACAATAAGATATTACCTCACACCTGTCAGATGGCTATGACCAAAAAAAAGACATTAAGTGTTAGCAAGGATGTGGAGAAATGTTGGAACCCTGGCACACTATTGCTGGGAATGCAAAAGGGTACAGCTGCAATGGAAAAATAGTATGGAGGTTCCTCAAAAAATTTAAAAAAGAACTACTGTATGATTTAGCAATCCCACTTCTGTGTATATACCCAAAGAAACTGAAATCAGGATCTCAAAGAGATATTAGCTCTCTCAGTGTTCATCACAGCACTATTCACAATAGCCAAAATTGGAAATGTCCATCAATAGATGAACTGATTTTTAAAATGGGGCACATGTTCTCTCGTTCTCTCTCTCTCTCTCTCTCTCTCTCTAATATTATTCAGCCTTTTCAAAGAAGGAAAATTTGCCTGGCCGGCTTAGCTCAGTGGTTGAGCGCTGACCTATGAACCAGGAAGTCAAGGTTCAATTCCCGGTCAGGACACATGCCCGGGTTGCAGGCTTAATCCCCAGTGTGGACGTGCAAGAGGCAGCCAATCAATGATTCTCTCTCACCACTGATGTTTCTATTCTCTCTCTCCCTCTCCTTTCTCTCTAAAATCAATAAAAATACATTTTAAAACATTTTTTAAATAAATAAAAGAAGAAAAATATGACACAAGCTATAACATGAACGAACTTTGGTGACATTATTCTAAGTGCAATAATCCAGTCAAAGAGAGAGAAATACTGCATGATTCTGCATATATGAGTTACCTGACATAGTCAAATTCACAGAATTCAAGTGGAATGATAGTTGCCAGGGGCTGGGGGAGGGCAAAATGGGAGGTTACTAATCAATGGGCATAGAGTTTCAGTTAAGTAAGATGAATAAACTCTAGAGATCCACTGTACAACCTTGTACCTATAGTCAACAATAATGTATTGCACATTCAAAATTTTGCTGCGGGTAAATCTCACATTGTATTCTTACCACAATAACATAAACTTTAAAAAAAATTGACAATTCCAAATGCAAATGAGGATATGGAGCACCTGAACTCTCATATATTGCCAACGGGAATGTAAAATGGTACAACCACCTGATGAATGGATAAACAAACTATTATGTAACCAACAATGAAATACTACTCAGCAATAAAAAAGAACAAACTACTGATAGATGTAACAACATGGATTAAATCTCCACGGTATTGTGCTGAGTGAAAGAAGCCAATCTCAAAGAGTTACTGGTATATCCTGTAGTATAATTAATCCCATTTACATGACATTCTAGAAAAGACAAAACCACAGGAATGGAGAACTGATCAGGGGCTGCCAGGGATTAGGAGTTAAAAAGAATCTGACTACAAAGGGGCAGCAGTGGGGAGCTTTTCGAGGTGAAGGAACTGTTCTCTGTCCTGACTGTGGTGGTGATTACATGAATCTATACATGTGTTAAGATTCATGAAACTGTATACCAAAATTTCTTCAACTGTACTATTTGTAAATTTTAAAAATAGTAACAATAAAAGAAAAAATAACTAAAGCTGTTAAAAATAAAAGGAAAAATACAGTCGCTATATATGAACTAGAACTTTAAAAGCTTTTCAAATATTAGTTCTATTGAACTTAGTCTTTGAAGGAGTACGCTATTTGATTATAGTTCCCTAACAGAAATATATTTCCAAATAGAAAAAAGAACACTGTTTGTCCCAGGGACACTGTGTATTGGCCTAAAGTCACAACTAGACTGCAGGGGTTCTGATACCTAAATGTTGGCCATAATAACGCTGATACTTGCTAAAAATACAGACTAGCACCCATACTTTGAACTTTATACTGGATTTTTTTTTTTGACAAACAACGGTTTAGTTTTTATTTCATAATCATAAACTTAACTCTGCAATCCAGCTAGACCGGGAAGGGGTAGGGACATTATGGAACCCAATAAATTGGCAAGAGCACAAAGATTATGGAACATTCCAAGCAAATCGGAGTGAATGGGTGCTCCCCTGAGCTACAGAAGGAATGGTCTGGTGGTTAAGATAAAACACAAGTCAAATTTATTAGAGTTGCCCACAGTCAGCAATGGTGAGCTTCTTGCTGGTCTTGCCATTCCTGGACCCTGCAGAGCGCTCCATGGCTGCCACAATATCCATGCCTTCCTTCACCTGGCCAAAGACCACATGCTTGCCCTCCAACCACTCAGGCTTGGCAGTGCAGATGAAAAACTGGGAGCCGTTTGTGTTCGGTCCAGCATTTGCCATGGACAAGATGCCAGGACCTGTATGTTTCAGGACGAAGTTCTCCTCCTCAAATTTCTCCCCATGGACGGACTTGCTGCCTGTGCCATTGTGGTGTGTTAAGTCACTACCCTGGCACATAAATCCCGGAATAATTCTGTGAAAGCAGGAACCTTTGTACCCAAATCCCTTCTCCCCAGTGCTCAGAGCACGGAAGTTTTCTGCCGTCTTTGGAACTTTGTCTGCAAACAGCTCGAAGGAGATGCGGCCCCGGGGCTCGCCGTCGGCGGCGATGTCCAAGTACACGGTGGGGTTCACTACGGCTGCTCACGGGCGGCTTCCAGGCGGTGTCTGCAAAACCTATACTGGATTTTTATAATACCCCCAAAAGTCAGCATTCAGTTGCCACAAATAAGAGTTCTTACCAGGTTTTGTGATTAAACCATGGAAGAAAAAACAACAGCTAGAAAGACCTTGACAACTCAACATCTATAAACAGAATCAGTGCCTATAAGGAACTGATGTTTCTGGAATCCTGGCTAGAAAAGTGACACTTTTTTCTTGAAAATTTGCAACAGATTGCACTAATAAGTGCATTTCTCTTAAAACAAACAAACAAAAAACAGAACACCTTTCTCTGAGCACTCCCCTGGGCAAAAGCAGCGCTCCGGAACGGAGCCCAAGTCACAGTGCCCCGTATGACAGCCATGCCTCATCCCTGGAAACCAGCAAGGTGGCCTGCTGAGGAGGGAAGCAGAAGATGTGACAACTCCTACAACCTACTGGGGACAATATAAACCAGGGATTTACTAATGGTCAGGAAGAAGCATGTGGCTAGGAACAAAGCACATCAGCCCCCAAGGGTCAGGTTGGATATAATCTGATTAAAATTAAACATGGAGCTCTAGCTGGTTTGACTCAGTAGATAGAGCGTTGGTCTGTGGACTGAAGGGTATGGGTTCGATTCCAGTCAACAGCATGTACCTTGGTTGCAGGCTCTATCCCTGGCCTGGTTGGGGTGCATGTGGGAGGCAACCAATCGATGTGTCTCTCTCACATCAGTGTTTCTCTCTCTGGGTCTCCCCCTCTCCCTTCCACTCTTTCTAAAAATCAATGAAAAATTTTTCCTCAGGTGAGGATTAACAAACAAAATGAAAAACACTCAAATCTAATAATGAGTCTCTGACAGCCACTCATCACATAGAATGGACTTATTTTCTTTGACCTAGAAAGCTTTTGAGCAATTTCTAATGCCAAGAGTCTACATTAAGATCCCAAAATAAAAGAAGTCTTACTCCTTTGGCACTTATGTCTGAAGTTTCCAGGATGAACCAGAAAAAGAAAAAGCCTTGTGAGGTAAGTGAAATACTCACATGATCATTCTACTTTGTTTCCCCTCTACAGTTAACCACTCAATCTGTGCCTTTCTTGAGTCTTATACTCACTCTGTCTCTTCTGGAGACAAGAAACAAGAAATATTATAAAAAGAAGGAAAGCAAAAAAAATTTTTTTGTTTAATCTATAAACAGTACTTGCACTAGACTATCTATATTAATAAAACAAATGGCCATCATTCAGTTAAGTGGTCTTTATGAACTTCCCTCATCCAAGGCTATCTGAAGAATGCCTTCCCAAGGGGCTGTTGTTTAACTGTTCTTAATCACTGTTACTGTGAGCACTCAAATTAGGAAGCAGGGACAAACTTACAATGTGATTGCACAGAGAACTTCCTAATGGGATTACTGTAAGGATGCTTTGCATCCCTAAATAAACTGCTAAATTTACTAACAGTTTGTACATGAACTCTGCCTGCTCTACTGGTTCCACACAAACCATGGGGACTTCTGCCAACTGTCTAAGCACAGACGGTGGCAAATGCTAATGGAATCTGCATGAATTCAGTAACTTTAGTGGTGAGAAGGAGAAAAATATTAACAAATTAAATGAAATGTTTTACTGCATTCCATTACTTTTCTCATTCTGTGATTTTGTATGTATATATTCTGATGTTCCAATCACCCTTTATTTTTTCTTAGTCAATGATCTTTACTGACTACAAAAGGCTGGGTCAGACCCCAAGTTCCCTGAGCTCAGCCTTTGCTCTAAATCCCCACTACACCAGGTGTACCGGTTAATAATGCAGATTTTGTAATCAAAGAAAACACGATCATTTCAAGAGAAACATCAAAAGTGCTTTATTCAAAGTAATGTCCATTGCTAGCTACACATTTCCCCCATCTTTCAGGTAATTTGTGGATACCGTCCCAATAGAACTTTTCTTGTTTTGAAGCAAACCATTCAGAGACCCAATCTTCCACTTCTTCGTACGTTTTGGAGTGCTGCTCAGAAAGTGCATGTGCCATCGATCCAAACAAGTGATAATCTGAAGGAGCAAGGTCTGGTGAGTACAGCGGTTGGATTAATACTTCCCAGGAAAGATCTTTTAATGTATCTTTAACTGGTTTTGAAGTGTGTGATGGTGCATTATCATGAAGCAAAATTACTTTGCCGTGTCTTCTGGCCAATTCTGGTTGTTTTACGATCAAAGCGTTGTTCAAATTGATTATTTGTTGTCGGTAGCGATCAGTATTAATGGTTTCACCTGGTTTTAGAAGCTCATAATACACCACACCTTCCGGATCCCACCAGACACAGAGCACTGTCTTCTTTCCGAAGCGATCTGGCCTTGCAGTTGATGTTGATGATTGAACTGGATCAACCCATGATTTTGTGCATTTGGGATCCTCAAAATAAATCCACTTTTCATCGCCAGTCACAATTCGATGCAAAAAAGACTTTCTTTTATGACGTTGAAGCAACATTTTACTGATGACTTTTTGGTTTTCCATTTGTCTTTCGTTCAGTTGATGTAGCACCCATTTTCCTTCCTTTAAAATCAGCGTTTCTCAACCTGTGGGTAGCGACGCCTTTGGGGATCAAACGACCCTTTCACAGGGGTCGCCTAAGGCCATCGGAAAACACATAGATAATTACATTTTGTTGTTGTGATTAATCACTATGCTTTAATTATGTTCAATTTGTTACAATGAAAATACATCCTGCATATCAGATATTTACATTACAATTCATAACAGTAGCAAAATTGCAGTTATGAAGTAGCAACGAAAATAATTTTATGGTTGGGGGTCACCACAACATGAGGAACTGTATTAAAGGGTCGCAGCATTAGGAAGGTTGAGAACCACTGCTTTAAAATCTTTCCCATTGCTTGTAAACGATCGGAAATTGTTTGCTGAGCAATGTTTAATCTTTCTGCAAGTTGTATTTGAGTTTGACACGCATCTTCATCCAGTAATGCTTGTAACTGTTGGTCTTCAAACTTTTTTGGTTGACCTGGACGTTCTTTGCCTTTCACATCGAAATCATCACTTTTAAAGCGTTTAAACCAGCATTCACAAGTATCTTAAGATGAAGCATGTTCACCATAAGCTTCCCGAAGTATACGATAACTTTTTCTTCAAAATAAAGTAATGAATTAAAACTTCCCACAAATGCTCTCTTTTTTTGGCACAAAATTCGACATTTTTAAGCGTAAAAAATATCTATGATGTTAACACCTTCAGCAAATTTGACATATGAAGTTTTGAAGCTTGCTGTCAATACAACAAAATAGCATACATATCAAATTGCATGTCTATCAACATATGTGTAATTCCATTTACTGAAAAAAATCCACATTAGTAACCGGTACACCTGGGTATTTTGAAATTGTACATTACAGCCCACGTGTCTTGTACCCCAGCTTGGCCAAGGAAGTTTATTCAAGTCAAGTCTGACATTTGGTGTCCAAAGCCGGATTCAGTACCCTAGAAGAAAGCAACAGCACTGGCTGATAAGGCTTTTAACTCTTTCTTTCTGCTTTCACATATTAGAATCCTCTCAGTCGCTATCCTTAATTCTCCCTGCAATTTCAAATACTATTGCTCTCATGAAGCACAGAGGATATAAGCAAATGATCAAAGAAAGAAAGCCAGGGAATTTCAGTAAAGACAAAACAGTCATCCATCAGGTCTATGAAAAGGAGTATAATTTTTGTTTCTCTATACACTAAACTGAAGGCTAGTTGAAAATATCAAGAAAAAAAAATGAATTACGTGGCTGTAAATGGGTAGAATGAAAGACTCCAAAATAAGAAAAAGATAAAGATCCACAAAGATTAAGTAATCTTTATCAGTGAGAGGGCACAGAGAATAAAGAAGTTGGAAAATTTAGGTTTTCCTTAAAGAAATAACAGTAGAAGCTCTAGGGGGAGGGGGGAACCCCTCTACAGAGAAAGGCTTAAAAATTAGAAATAAAGATAGCTTGCTAACCAAGATGCTCTGGATTAGAATGCCAACATGTATTACCGAGCATACGTCCCCAGATTTTCTAAATAGAATATTCTGTCTCTAAAACTTTAAAATAGCAAAATAATCTTTAACTATTCCTCCTTCCCCTTTCACCTTGTAAAGTCAATCACCAAGTCCTATTGAGTCATCCTATACACTATTTCTTACATTAGAAAACTGTTACTTAAACACACACATCCATGTGACACACATATACGAAATTATATTATTTTCCTTCCTATCTTTTTCATTATTATCCTACTCCATGCCTTTGTCACCGCACAGCGAGGCCAAATCAAAGAGCCCATTAGCTGGATGCTCATTCTAGTCCGTGCTATTAGACACTGCTGCCCAATCCTCCTAAAACATCACAGCAGCTTTGATGATGTGGCATTCTGTACTCCCTCAGAAATCTTCCATGTTCTCCATTGTCTCTAAGGATACATACAACTTCCCAAAAGACTTAATATTTGGCAAACCATACCCTATCTATCTTTCCAGGCTTATCTGCCACTGGGGGATCCCACCAAAGCCCAACTGATTTGCTCACTGCTCCATGAAAACACTCTGTACATTCTCACCTTCTCACTTTGGCTCACGCTGTTCTACCCAACCATCCTGTCAAGTCCAGCTCAAATCATACTTCTTCCATCAATCATACTAGCTTGAAGTTCTTGCCTTTCTAAAAAATCAATTATTTTCTGTACCACTTATGTGGCAATTAAACCCTGTTCAATTGCTATCATGAACCATTATGAAAACTTCTACTTATTAAGCATTTTGTGTTTACAATTTATTTCACCAAATAAATAAGTTCCTAAAATAAAAGGTTTATCTTTTCTGTATCTTTCAATACTTGTCACAATGTCTCACCTTTAGTTGTTGCTCACTAAATATTTGTTGGTTGTGTGTGGTCAGGATAGGTGATTTATAGTTCCCCACTGAAAGCAATAATTCTATGTATGTAGTGAGACTGATAGCTCTCAAGGTCATGTCTTCCTCTACACTTTTATTTTCATAGATAATTTTTAAATGGAAATCCTAAAAAGCAATGTATGTAGTACAAAAGGATTCCTTTGACCCAAACTAACTTTTTGCTTTAAATAAGCTAAGAAATTAGGATATATCTATCTCACTACGAAAAATAAAACACAGGAATTATCTATGTCTATCTATGTAGTTCTGTTTAGTTCCGGAGAATAAAACAAGGCCCAATAGGTAGAAATTATAGGAAAGCAGATTTCACTCACTATAAGGAATAACTTCTAACAATTGGAATTATCCTACGATAGAACCAGGGCCTCAGGAGGTGGGGACTCCCTATCACCTAAGTGTTCAAGCAGAGGCTAGGCATCCAGACACTAGAAATGTTGAAAAGGAAACTCACCCCAATCTCCCTCCGATATCAGCCAGGCAACCCTTCTACGGCAACCCTTCTACAGCACACCTTCTGGAAGGTGTGAAAGACGATTGGGTGTTTAGACAACACCCTGGACACAGGACTGCTGACAGCCAGGGCGTGCTCTAGGCATGGGGAGGGTGGTGGATAAAGAGTCAGATGGGCCTGGCTGGTGTGGCTCAGTGATTGAGTGTTGACCTATGAACCAGGAGGTCACAGTTAGGTTCCAGGTCAGGGCACATGCCCAGGTTACAGGCTCGATCCCCAGTAGGGGGCCTGCAGGAGGCAGCCCATCAATGATTCTCTCTCATCACTGATGCTTCCATCTCTCTCTCTCCCTCTCCATTCCTCTCTGAAATCAATAAAATATATATTTCTTTTTAAAAAATCAAATGGGGTGACCTGTGCAGAAACCAGAACTGACCTCTAGGAAGGAAGGGGAAGCCAAGACTAACAGCAGATGGGTCTCTCCAAGACTGGGTGCCAATGCAGGAGCAGGTGGGAGGGCTGGGGTGGGACAGGTCTGAGCAGCTTGGCCTCACCTCCCAGGACTGCCTAACAAGGCCAACAGGTTCCCCCAGCTATATCCAGCTGGTCCACTTTGCTTCCCAAGCGCTCTTTACTAAGGATTGTACCACACCTACTTCCAAAAACAAGCCGAAGGAGCTCAAAATAAAAGGCAGGGACATTAAGGCGTTAACACCAGAGAAGGGTCATCCTGTCCACCGGTAGCCCCTCCAGCAGAGGACAGACACTAAGGGGTGGGTACAGGTGCTACTGCTACTTTTCCAGGAAACAGGACAGTGAGGAGGGAACCTCAGCAAATACCAGCTGGAGGCCGGGTCCCTGTGCTCTGCAGTGGGTTCCCTGGCCTAAGGCGTGGAGGCTGACCTCCCTCTCTATCTAACAGGGCCTGCCTCTCCAGCCCTGGCTACACAACAGCAGCACAGGCCCTGCGGCCCCACTGCATCGCTTCCTCCCGAATGATGCCCCTGCCCTCAGATATCATGCTTCTTCTGATGGGTCAGGAGTTTCCCCTCATCATCAAAGGTCTGACCACAGATGGCACAGCAGAAGGCGCCGTCCTGGATGTGGCTCTTGTGGTGGGTGGTGAGACTGGACTTCTGGCTGGAGCTCTTGTCGCCGTCGGGGCAGGCGGAAGGGCGCTCGCCGGTGTGGATGTGCCGGTGGGCTGCCTGGTAGGGCTTGTGGCAGAAAGCCTTGCCAGAGTCTGGGCAGACGGAGGGCCGCTTGGACGCGTGGTCACGACAGTGGGCCGCCAGGTGGCTCCCCTGGGAGAAGCGGCACCCACACTCCTCACAGGCAAAGGGCCGCTCCCCTGAGTGGACCCGAGGGCCGCCACGTGGGGCTTCCTGCCAAAGTTCTTCCCACACTCGGTGCAGATGAAGGGCCGCTCCCCGTGTGCCGCCGCTGGTGGGCCCGCAGGAAGCGCTCCAGCCCGAAGCTCCTGCCACAGTCATCGGAGCTGCAGAGAGATGGGGGGGCTTCTGCCTGGTCCCGGGGGACCTCTCCGGGGCCTCCAGCAGAGGCTTGGGGGTAGGCTCCTGGGCAGGTCTCAGTGGAGCCTGTGCGGTGGGCTCCGCTGAGGATTCCAGGGACCGGCTGAAAGCTGGGGGCTTCCTGCGCTGGGGGCGCTCTGGGTGGACCCTGCGGACGCAGGTGGATCTTGCTGAGACAGAGGTTGGGTTTGTGGCAGAAGCAGCGCCCGCACTCAGTGCACGGTAGGGCTTCTCACCAGTGTGGGTCCGGTAGGGCTTATTGGTGAAGCGCCCCTGCAACCAGGGCACTGGTGAGGCCGCGAGCCCGTGTGCACGCGGCAGTGGGCAATCAGGTCGGGTTTGTGCCTGAAGCGCTGGACACAGCGGGCACACTGAAAGGGACGGTCAATGGCATCTCCACCCGGCCGGGGGCAGTCAGAGCCTTGGCTGCGGCCTCCTCCAGGGCCTCGGCTACATGCACCCGTTTGTGAGAACTAGCTGGTCCCACTGGGCAAAGCTCCTGCCACAACTGCCACATACAGGCCGGGCCTCAGGCGTAGGGAGATGGCTCCTCCGCAGACGCACTCGAAGCTGCTTTCGTCGCCAGAAGCGTCTCTCACACTCAGGGCAGGCGATTGGCCGCTTGGCAGCCGAGTGGGCCTGCAGATGCAGACCAGGGCCACCCAGCCTCAGAAGCTCTGCTTGCAGAGGTGGCAGGAGAAGCCCAGGTCTGGAGTGGCAGCCGCATGGACCTGGCAGTGCAGTGCCAAGAAGGGGCGTGTCGGCAGCAATGGCCACATTCCGGGCAGGCCAGGGGCAGCCGGGCCTGGGCCTGGCAGTGTCGGGCATGAAGCCACAGGGCTACCCAGCCGGGAAAGTGCCTGCGACAGTGGGCCCAGCGATGGACCCGACCTGGAGCTTGGCTGCCTGATTGGGCCACGGAGGTACCTTGCAACCTCGTGGGGCTCCTTCTCCAGGGTCTGGGACGACTCCTGGGAGGGCCCAGAAAGGAGCTGGGGCTGGGCAGAGCCCATGGCCGGGGGCCCCTGCGGCTTCGTTCCAGCATCGGTTCTTCCTCTGCCTGGAGACTGTGGAGCTGGAGATGAGGTTTCTTTCCAGCTCCTGCTGGGGATGCTCCTGGAGATACTTCTGCGGTTGTAGCGCCTGCTTCGGCCCACACTCTGGTAGCCCCCAGATGTCAGAGAAAACTCTCCCACCGGCTGCGTGGAAGCGCGTTGCGCATCCATGAGGCCAGAAAGCCGGAGGCTACGGAGCCGGAAGCCGCAGCGACAGCAGCAGCAGGTTCGAGTTCATCACTGCCAGGCCCGTGCCCACACCTTCCTACCCACGCCCCCCCCCTCCTCCCCCTGGTTCCCAGCGCTTAACAGTACCTTTTGAGAAAATGTTTTTATATTAAATAACTTAAAATCCTAAAAAAAAAAAAAGGTTTAAAAAACCTTTAAGAATGTTACTAAATTTTTTGCCCTAGAACAGCGGTTCTCAACCTGTGGGTCGCGACCCCTTTGGGGGTCGAATGACCCTTTCACAGGGGTCGCCTAAGACCATCGGAAAACACATATATAATTACATATTTTTGTTGTGATTAATCACTATGCTTTAATTACATTCAATTTGTAACAATGAAAATACATCCTGCATATCAGATATTTACATTACGATTCATAACAGTAGCAAAATTACAGTTATGAAGTAGCAACGAAAATAATTTTATGGTTGGGGGTCACGAGCACATGAGGAACTGTATTAAAGGGTCGCGGCATTAGGAAGGTTGAGAACCACTGCTCTAGAGCAAGAAAATATTCTCCAGTTTTTTCCACTGCAGAAATAGAAAAAGAAAGCAATTTGCAGCAAAGTTCTAGCAGACTTAGGAATAAATTAACATTTAAAAAAACAAAAAACACCTTCCTAAAGCTCTGTGCCCTACTGGGATCACTCTAGTTCATATGTGCCCAAAGGTATCTGCAGAGGGGAGAGAAGTCCTCTTAAAGTCTGAACAGCTCCCCAAGTCCCCATCCATTTCACTGCCGTCATTCACTCTCTCTCACTCTCCGCTATAATGATCCTTCACTCTCCCAATACCTTCTTCTCTATCACAGTACAAATCTTTTAAAATGCCTTATTTTCTTCTTTCTTCAAGACATTTTCTCCTTTGTAGTATTCACCAAAATCTTAGGAAATCCAACTGAGAATTCTGCAACAAATGAGATCTCTGGTTATTCTGACCTCTGAGAAAGCTCTACCAGTCTCATTTGTCACCTGCTCACTTTTTCTCTGCAATTTAATAATAATGCATCAATTTGTTTTCATTTAAAAGCATTTTACTCAGCTTCTTATTAAGACAAAAAGACACTAGTGACTGTGAAGTGGAAGCCTTTTGTATTAGCCTTAATTGAAGAAGAATCCCTTCAGAAACAAGAAGCTAACCATGTAATACATTTAGCCCTATTTATTTACAGGGCTGTCATTCGGGAAAATGAAGGAAAATGTTATTTCACACTGGTTTCTAGTGAACATTAAGTTTCTGAAGGCTCAGCCTTCAATTGCCTATAGTAATAAAATAAGGAGAGACTAAGAATAGATGAAAATGAATTGCTTTTTCACTGACAGTGTTATTTGTGTTCTTTTTATCAATCATTAGCTCAAAATTTAAAGTGACATTTTAATTTTGATTTTTTTCTCCCTTCCCAAGTTCACTCTGGTGGAAGTGCTAATGATCAATTAAAATACCCAAATGTAGAAAAATAAATGGTATGTATAATTCACTGCCTAGACAATCCATCCCTAGGTAAATAACCACTCACTGTATTTCTCTAATGTTCTTACTCCCCAGGAACTCAAAAGATTTTACAGAATAAAAACTGCGCTAATTAAATGAACATGAAAGGAGTCCGTTAATATGTCTTTTGAGGGATTTCAGTGCTTTCCATTTCCAGATCCTGGTATAATCCTGATGAAGACAGGATGCCTCGCCCTACCACCAACGGTGCATGAAAAAGTGCTCCAAACCCCCTGGCTACCATTTTCACCATCCTAACCCAGCGGACTCCCAGCATCAAGATAGCTTCTGTTCCAAGAGCACCTCTTACCAGTGATTCTCAACCTTTTGGCCCTTTAAATACAGTTCCTCATGTTGTGACCCAACCATAAAATTATTTTCATTGCTACTTCATAACTGTAATTTTGCTACTGTTATGAATCGTCATGTAAATATCTGATATGCAGGATGGTCTTAGGCGACCCCTGTGAAAGGGTTGTTCGACCGCCAAAGGGGTCGTGACCCACAGGTTGAGAACTGCTGTCTTAGACCCTCAGCCTTCCGGCCTTTTTTTTTTTTTTTTGGTTACACTCTCCTCAGTATGACACATTTCCACATACCTCAGAGAAATCTTAACTATTATCCTCTTTCACCCTTGTTCTTCTAGCCCAAGAGTCTCCCAGAACTTTTTCTGCTCCAACGCACAAATCCCTCCTAGCACTGATTCCCAGTACACACTGTTCTTCTCTCAGTCCTACATCAATTTCAGCCTTGCATAAGCAAGGTCCAGGTGGTGGTGGTCAAAACTCCCCTGTGACCCTGGTCATAACTTACGTTGGCAACTTGAGAGCATTTATCAGTAGCCAAGTGTACATATCTAAGGGCAGGAGAAAGAAAAAGATGGACACCAAAACATGACGGCCTTTTAAAAAGTAGCTAGGATAGGTACAGGAACAAAACAAACATATTACTTCAACGCCTCTTTTCTCATCCATATTCTCTTTGTTGGTACATCTTCTGCCCATTTCCCCTCATTCTTTCTGCTTCCAAAATGCTCTCCCTCAAAGGCACTTTTGCCTTTCTTCTGACTATCCCAGAATCTTGCACTATGCCCACACACTAAACTGTGTTTAGCTACTTGGGATAATGATACTTTCTTTAAAAAGTCAAAACTGTTCACACTACCTGGTTATATGAACATGAGATATAACACCATTTAATGGGGAAAAAATCTTTAAGCATGTGTCAACCAACTCCACCACTTAGTTGTCCGATAGCCCTAGACAACTCACTTAAGGCACTGGGTGCTTACTCAGCTTCCTCGGCCATCACATATGTAGAATAATATTTGCTTCACCCAATTCCAATAACCAACTGATAGGATGATTTTAAAAGTTTTTATAAACACTCTAGT